TTTCACTCCTAAGATCAGAATGAAAATTCTCTACACTGTCACTCATACATTTCTCTTAATTTTTGCTTCAAGAATTTAGTGTTAAACAAAAATTATTGCCTAAGTTATATTTATTATCTTCTCATTACCCATCTGCTGGAAAATGTATTACCACTGTAAAGAGAAATTCCTTTTTGGTCAGTCTTGGAGCAGAGGATTTATGAAAGGAATACAACATACCTGCTCATCTGGAATATCTTTGCTTTCTTCATTAGCTACTGGTTCTTCTGAGTGCTTATGGTTCTGAGTTCAATACACACTTTTCACTGTGAGAACTGAAAGAAAAAAATTAACTTGTTAGGGTGCACAGCTGAATACAAAAATACATTCTTATGGTACCTCTTGTTAGCTGGTGATGGCATCAATATATCTCCATGCAAACAGCAACTATTAGATAAAAAGACTAGTGGCTCAAGGACCATACCTTTGGTAGAATCAGGGTTCTCAACAGCGTTCTCCACGTAGGAGCCCGGCTCAAAGGCCGGACTCAAATCGTTGATACTTTGCTTATCTTTTGTTTTAATTGCTAAACGAAAAAAAAAAAATTGTAAGAACACAGCCTATATGACAATTAAAAAAATTACTCTGCCCAAATTAACGCCCTTCCAATCTTGCACTATGCATGAACTGTACAAATGAGTTCAGAAAAAAAAATTCATTAATACAGGTAATTCTTAATAAGAGTAACACTTCTTCATTGTAATGCTCTACTGAGACAAAATTTTTCCCCTTGCTAAGATCCATCTCTCTTCAGTGGCCATAGTTCTGTCTATTGTGGAGAGATGGATTTGATGAAGGAGAAAATCTTGGATCAGTCGAGCCTTACGATGGAGAGGTATCGCCGGAAAATCTACAGATTGCAAATAGTGACCAGACTTTCATTCAATACGTCCTTCACCATTGTTTAATAGCACTCGAGTTTCGCTGGAACAAATTATTTCAAACATTAAAATATGGTTGTGAATACTTAGCATATGAGTTAACTGGTGCTATTTCCACGCGCAGTGAAATGTATCAAGAATTTCCAATGGATAGGTGTAAATAACAACCAAAATACTTCCACGCCGACGAACAATCGATCATTTTACCGGAAATTTCCCGGGAATGTATCAATTCAAACTCAGAAACAGGTGTTTCCGCGCGATTATCAATTTTCCCCAAAAAACTGTGATATCGCACGCCAAAATACAAAACAATCCCTGAAATACTCAACACCAGGCATTTTAGCTTTCATTTCCATCTTTTGCGGTTTGCTCCCTGGTACACGTCTTTTTCCGTGCGCGTGTCTGAACTAGTAAAAGTAGGTTTTCTCCGAAGCAAAAATAGTTTTAAAAGATTTTCGCCTCAGGAAAAAGCTTCCTCAGTACTTACTTCCTTGATCAAATGCTTCTTCGGAAATCACCGATTGAAAACTTACAAAAAGTAGTAAAAAAGTTAGCGCTACCAACTTTTCCGCCATCTTTAAAAAAGCATCATCACCGAACTGCGCGTGCTCACTATTGTTACGTAGCTGACGTGTCGCTTTGCAGCAAATTTGGCAGGGGAGGGGAAAAATATCATTATCGTTGAATACACACAATTGGCTGGTATTTCAACACAAGAAACAGACACAATGTAGTCTTAGGAAATAAAAATATTCATTTTGAAAGTTATCTTTGGACAGAAAAATATTACATAAGCAAAACTCTACAGATGTGTAGAATTAAGAGTTTTTTACCCCAACCCCCGGCAGTTGCATTTGGCACACTTGATGCCATAGAAACGGGGTTCGCTTCTGGGAGAATGTCATCGCTAGTGGTTCTGGGGATTTGGTTTCTTCTGGATCTGGGGTCGCTGGAGAAATTCCGTTGACTCCAGTTTGATAAGGAACCACATTTCCGAAGCAAAAGTAATATGTCATCAAAACATCGTAAAACGGGAAAAATAAGCACGGAAGAAATGAAAGAGCGACAAAGGAAAAATAAAAGGGTGAAAACGGGAAGGGAAGAATTTCAATGAATCTTCATTTCTTGACCTCACCGTCTGCCTACATTATTAAAAAGTTTTCCTTCCGTCTGCGGCCGCGGCCATTGCCGCACCGTTGCTCTGGTAAGTAAATTGGAATGTGAATTTATCATATTTTAAC